TTCCTCCTCCTCCAAACAGGGCGAGTTGAGTTGATGCCAAAGAGCTCCATTTTGGTCTCATCTGACCACAACACTTTCACCCAGTTGTCCTCTGAATCATTCAGATGTTCATTGGCAAACTTCAGACGGGCATGTATATGTGCTTTCTTGAGCAGGGGGACCTTGCGGGCGCTACAGGATTTCAGTCCTTCACAGCGTAGTGTGTTACCAACTGTTTTCTTGGTGACTATGGTCCCAGCTGCCTTGAGATCATTGACAAGATCCTCCCGTGTAGTTCTGGGCTGATTCCTCACCGTTCTCATGATCATTGCAACTCCACGAGGTGACATCTTGCATGGAGCCCCAGGCCGAGGGAGTATGACAGTTCTTTTGTGTTTCTTCCATTTGCGAATAATCACACCAATTGTTGTCACGTTCTCACCAAGCTGCTTGGCAATGGCCTTGTAGCCCATTCCAGTCTTGTGTAGGTCTACAATCTTGTCCCTGACATCCTTGGAGAGCTCTTTGGTCTTGGCCATGGTGGAGAGTTTGGAATCTAATTGATTGTTTCTGTGAACAGGTGTCTTTTATACAGGTAACAAGCTGAGATTAGGAGCACTCCCTTTAAGAGTGTGCTCCTAATCTCAGCTCGTTACCTGTATAAAAGACACCTGGGAGCCAGAAATCTTTATGATTGAGAGGGGGTCAAATACGTATTTCCCTCATTAAAATGCAATTCACTTGATAACATTTTTGACATGCGTTTTTTTGGATTTTGTTGTTGTTATTCTGTCTCTCACTGTTCAAATAAACCTACCGTTCAAATTATAGACTGATCACTTCTTTGTCAGTGGGCAAACGTACAAAATCAGCAGGGGATCAAATACTTTTTTCCCTTACTGTATACTGTACTAGAGGAATCCGATGAGGTGTCAGGGTCGAGATCGAACCCGCGACTTCCTACGTACCAGGCGAGGGAGTTAACATCTCCTAGCCACCGCTGGTCACCGCACAAACTTTGCCCCCCTCACCCCACCACCCCCTCCGCTCAGACTAAAGCCGAAGCCCTGGAGTACGTGTGGAGCATCTTGCAGGGCATGGAGGAGGAGCAGCAGCAGCAGGAGGAGGAGTCCAGGGGATTTGAGCTGAGGGAGGTGCACAAGGCCAGGATGGCGATGTTCAGGCTGGAGCGCAGAGCTACCGCCTGCAAGGAGGCCCTGAGGGTGGCGCTCCAGAGGATACATGGAGGTGCGTAGCCTGCAGCGGTGATTTATATTCACATCGCAACTCCACGCTCCCCTCTATTCTCACTGGAACTCCACGCTCCCCTCTATTCTCACCGGAACTCCACACTCCTCTCTATTCTCACCAGAACTCCACACTCCCCTCTATTCCCACCAGAACTCCACACTCCCCTCTATTCTCACCAGAACTCCACACTCCCCTCTATTCCCACCAGAACTCCACCCTCCCCTCTATTCTCACCGGAACTCCACACTCTCCTCTATTCCCACCAGAACTCCACGCTCCCCTCTATTCTCACCGGAACTCCACACCCCCTCTATTCCCACTGGAACTCCACGCTCCCCTCTATTCTCACCGGAACTCCACACTCCCCTCTATTCCCACCAGAACTCCCACTCCCCTCTATTCTCCACCGGAACTCCACACGTCCCCTCTATTCCACCGGAACTCCACACTCCCCTCTATTCCACCGGAACTCCACACTCCCCTCTATCCCATCAGGAACTCCACAATCCCCTCTATTCTCACCGGAACTCCACACTCCCCTCTATTCCCACCGAACTCCCACACTCCCCTCTTTCTCACCGGAACTCCACACTCCCCTCTATTCCCACCGGAACTCCACACTCCCCTCTATTCTCACCGGAACTCCACACTTACCCCCTCTATTTCCCACCGGAACTACACACCTCCCCTCTATTCTCCCAGAACTCCACACTCCCCTCTATTCTCACCAAACTCCACACTCCCTCTATTCCCACCGGAACTCCACACTCCCCTCTATTCTCACCGGAACTCCACCCTCTATTCACTCCACTCCCCTCTATCTCCCACTCGGAACTCCACACTCCCCTCTATTCTCACCGAACTCCACACTCCCCTCTATTCTCACCGGAACTCCACACTCCCCTCTATTCTCACCAGAACTCCACCACTCCCCTCTATCCCACCGGAACTCCACACCTCCCCTCTATTCCCCCGGAACTCCACACTCCCCCCTCTATTCCACCGAAACTCCACACACCCCTCTATTCCCCGGAACTCCCTCCCTTCTATTCTCCACCGAACTCCACACTCCCCTCTATTCCACCGAACTCCACACTCCCTCTATTCTCACCGGAACTCCACACTCCCCTCTATTCTCACCAGAAACTCCCACACTCCCCTCTATTCTCACCGGAACTCCACACTCCCCTCTATTCTCACCAGAACTCTCACACCTCCCCTCTATTCTCACCAGAACTCACACTCCCCTCTATTCTCACCGGAACTCCACACTCCCCTCTATTCCTCACCAGAACTCCACACTCCCCTCTATTCTCACCAGAACTCCACACTCCCCTCTATTCTCACCGTAAACTCCACACTCCCCTCTATTCTCACCAGGAACTCCACAACTCCCCTCTATTCTCACCAGAACTCCACAGCTCCCCTCTATTCTCACCGGAACTCCTACACTCCCCTCTATTCTCACCGGAACTCCACACTCCCTCTATTCTCACCAGAACTCCACACTCCCCTCTATTCTCACCGGAACTCCACACTCCCTCTATTCTCACTGAAACTCCACACTCCCCTCTATTCTCACCAGGAACTCCACACTCCCCTCTATTCCCACCGAACTCCACACTCCCTCTATTCTCACCGGAACTCCACACTCCCCTCTATTCTCACCGGAAACTTCCACACTCCCCTCTATTTCACCAGAACTCCACACTCCCCTCTATTCCACCGGAACTCCACACTCCCCTCTATTCCCACCGGAACTCCACACTCCCCTCTATTCTCACCGGAACTCCACACTCCCCTCTATTCCACCGGAACTCCACACTCCCCTCTATTCCACACGGAACTCCACACTCCCCTCTATTCTCACCGGAACTCCACACTCCCCTCTATTCTCACCGGAACTCCACACTCCCCTCTATTCTCACCAGAACTCCACACTCCCCTCTATTCTCACCGAACTCCACACTCCCTCTATTCTCACCGGAACTCCACACTCCCCTCTATTCTCACCGAACTCCACACTCCCCTCTATTCCACCGAACTCCACACTCCCCCTATTCTCACCAGAACTCCCACTCCCCTCTATTCTCACCGGAACTCCACACTCCCCTCTATTCTCACCAGAACTCCACACTCCCCTCTATTCTCACCGAACTCCACACTCCCCTCTATTCTCACCGGAACTCCACACTCCCCTCTATTCCACAGAACTCCACACTCCCCTCTATTCTCACCAAACTCCACACTCCCCTCTATTCTCACCGGAACTCCACACTCCCCTCTATTCTCACCAGAACTCCACACTCCCCTCTATTCTCACCAGAACTCCACACTCCCCTCTATTCCACCGGAACTCCACACTCCCCTCTATTCTCACCGAACTCCACACTCCCCTCTATTCCACCGGAACTCCACACTCCCCTCTATTCCCCGGAACTCCACACTCCCCTCTATTCTCACCGAACTCCACACTCCCCTCTATTCTCACCGGAACTCCACACTCCCCTCTATTCTCACGGAACTCCACACTCCCCTCTATTCTCACCAGAACTCCACACTCCCCTCTATTCCACCGGAACTCCACACTCCCCTCTATTCTCACCGAACTCCACACTCCCCTCTATTCCACCAGAACTCCACACTCCCCTCTATTTCCACCGGAACTCCACACTCCCCTCTATTCTCACCAGAACTCCACACTCCCCTCTATTCTCACCGAACTCCACACTCCCCTCTATTCTCACCGGAACTCCACACTCCCCTCTATTCTCACCAGAACTCCACACTGCCCTCTATTCTCACCAGAACTCCACACTCCCCTCTATTCCCACCAGAACTCACACTCCCCTCTATTCTCACCGGAACTCCACACTCCCCTCTATTCCCACCGGAACTCCACACTCCCCTCTATTCCCACCGGAACTCCACACTCCCCTCTATTCTCACCGAAACTCCACACTCCCCTCTATTCTCACCGGAACTCCACACTCCCCTCTATTCTCATCGGAACTCCACACTCCCCTCTATTCTCACCAGAACTCCACACTCCCCTCTATTCCAACCGGAACTCCACACTCCCCTCTATTCTCACCGAAACTCCACACTCCCCTCTATTCCCACCAGAACTCCACACTCCCCTCTATTCCCACCGGAACTCCACACTCCCCTCTATTCTCACCAGAACTCCACGCTCCCCTCTATTCTCACCGGAACTCCACACTCCCCTCTATTCTCACCAGATCTCCACACTCCCCTCTATTCTCACCAGACATGGCGCGCAGTCCTCACCATAGCGCGAGAGGAGGAATCGCGAGCGCGCGAGGCAAAACTTAAATAGAAAATATTTTGTTGGAATTAAATATGAGTAGTCTGTTGAAGCATCTTGTCTTGCAAAAAATTCGAGTGCGTTTTAAATAGTGTTCATCAGTAACACTTTTGAAAACCGACAATCATCATATCTTGCCCTGACCGAACAATGTCTCCCAAATGTTGGTTGTTCACTTGTTTAGAATTATAATTTATATCGTGAGCATTGTCGTATATTGCATAAGTAACGTACATTAAAGAAGTGATCTTCGTGATGATGTATTAACTAGATGCATGTAAGTATGAACGTTACGGGAGTAATCGAGCCCAAAGGCAGGCGTGATAAACACAGTGAGTATGGTGGGAACTCCCTCACTAGAGCTGAGTGCTGGATGATCTCAGCGACGTCCGCTTTCAGTACGCCGCTTCTATAATAACCTCGGGCCTGGAGGACGCTCGGTTCGAATTCGTGAGAGCGCTGATTTCGGTTTCAAAGAGGCGAGGCGATAAAAGCGACGTCTTGAGATGGCGGAAACTGCTCCTGCTCAACCACCAGCTGCGGCTACTTCAGCGCCTAAAAGCCCCAAGAAGAAGCGCGCCGCTCCAAAGGCCAAGAAGGTCGGCCCCAGCGTGTCCGAGCTCATCCTCAAGGCTCTGGCCAGCAGCAAGGAGAGGAACGGCGTGTCTCTTCCTGCGCTCAAAAAGTCGCTTGCTGCCGGAGGATACGACGTGGAGAAGAACAATGCCCGCGTGAAGTTGGCCATCAAGAAGCTCGTGGCCAAAGACGCCGTGGCGCAAGTGAAGGGCAGCGGCGCGTCTGGCTCTTTCAAACTCAACAAGGAAAAGGCTGCCGCAAAGGCGAAGCCCAAGTCGTCAACGGCAAAGCCCGCAGCTAAAAAGCCCGCGGCAGCCAAGAAGGTGAAGAAGCCCGCGGCAGCCAAGAAGACCGCGCCCAAGAAGTCTCCCAAGAAAGCAAAGAAGCCCGCGGCTGCCAAGGCGGCCAAGAGCCCCAAAAAGGTGAAGTCGGCTGTTAAGCCCAAGAAGGCGGCGAAGAGCCCAGCCAAGCCCAAGGCTGCGAAGCCCAAGGTCGCTAAGCCCAAGACCGTCAAGGCCAAGGCCGCCAAACCCAAGGTGGCCAAGCCCAAGAAGGCCGCGGCCAAGCCCAAGAAGACTGCGCCAAAGAAGTGAATCCGATGGGACGACCGACGCTCGATTCACTCCACCTCAACGGCTCTTTTCAGAGCCACCCACTTCGTTCAAAAAGTGAACCAGATGCTGCTGCGCTTCAATTAGTTCAAATTAACTGTGTAACATTTCACCCACTCGATGTGTTTTAAGCATTGATGTGATGGGAGTGATCGAGCCCGAAAGCAGGGATCACAAACACAGGCGAGGCGGGTGGCAGCTCCCTCACTCGAACTGAGTGCAGAGTAATCTCAGCGACGTCAGCATTCTCGCTGGCGATTCTAATCTAAATCCAGATTCAAAATGATGCATTGACGAATCTCCAATTTTGATTATGTGTTGCACCTCTTCATTCCGTCATCATGTTACTGGTGCCAAATATGGAATTTAGTCTAAAAATGTATTGATTCCAGACAGCTTTACTCAATTTGCCTTCATTCGCTCATTCCGCCTTTTCACTTTGTTTTTGTTTTGTAAACATTGCGGTGCACCATCTAAACTTCTATTAAAATTAATTTATATACGTAAATATCGCATTGTTTGCAATATCTTTCTTACTTTGGGAGAACTAGTTGGTGACGTTCACTCAACTATTGTATTATTCACTCCACGTGCAATCTTGCAACAGATGGCGTTCCTCTGGCGTTCGCTGCGGGTGTGCCAATATCATTCCAGAGTGCTTCGAAGAAGGGTCATTGCCCAAAACGTCGCATATTATACATGTCAAGGAAGTGTTATTGACGACGGTGGAGGGTTTTCTTCGTCGCAGAGGTTAAAGGTGGAAGGTTTAAGGCGGAGCCATCGCGGAGGGCAGGGGTGGTCGGTGACGTCGCCACGCTTCGGGTATAAAGGCGGCTGCTGCTGCAAGCTGAGCGCGCAGTCTCTCGCGAGGAGCTTTGTCACAAGTAGTCGCAATGTCTGGACGCGGTAAAGGCGGTAAGGGGCTCGGCAAGGGAGGCGCAAAACGCCATCGCAAGGTGCTGCGCGACAACATCCAGGGCATCACCAAGCCCGCCATCCGCCGCCTCGCTCGCCGCGGCGGTGTGAAGCGCATCTCGGGCCTCATCTACGAGGAGACCCGCGGCGTCCTGAAGGTCTTCCTTGAGAACGTCATCCGCGACGCCGTCACCTACACGGAGCACGCCAAGCGCAAGACCGTCACCGCCATGGACGTGGTCTACGCCCTCAAGCGCCAGGGCCGCACTCTCTACGGCTTCGGAGGCTGAGCGCCCATCTCTCGCACACTAAGCCAACCCAAAGGCTCTTTTCAGAGCCACCCACCTCTTCGAAACTGCTTGCGCCAGTGTTGCCAAACACGCTCTGAATGGAGCACATGTCCTGGGTTGTTGTGAGCGTGCTGGACGTTCGCTTGTTGAGTTGGCGAATCTTCATCTGCTTCCACATGAATGAAAGAAATCATGATATTCACGTCACATTTAACAAGGCGTAATTCTTGAACGCCTTAATACAGTACCCATTTCTGCTATTTTTGCGTGAATTATTTGCAGCTGCAGCCGATTCCGATATTACGTAGAGCATTTGGCGCCACAATCTTACAGCACACTCGTCCTAATTGACGGAGCGTGCCGGAATGCTAATCTCCACCTGTACAGCACAACAGCGAAGTTATTTTTCTCCACCGAGCGCTTGTATTTTTCCAAATTGCGTTCATAAAACGCCCGTGCGCCGTATTAGACGAGTGGTGAAACAATCCCTCGTAAGAAACAAAAAAAACCCACGCTCAAAACACAATATACTGTATTGGGTTTTCTAGTCATCCTTTTTAAAACAAAGGCAATGCCATGGCTGCAATTCACTAATACACATGTTTGGACATTACATTGTGTTATATTCACCAGTCCTTTTTGCAGTAAAATCGATATTAAAGTGAACATCGCGTCCGCGTTTCTCATTGGAGGCTGATGGAGAGGGACGGTACTAAAAGAGCCACTCAGCAGCGCCGCGCACTACGATCCTCTGATTTGCATCTCGCCTCCTATAAAAGGAGCTCAACGCGCGAGCGACATCCACATTCGCTTCCCGTCTGTTCTGACCTGAAGCTGCTGCCTACGACGCGTCGACATGCCCGATCCTCCCGCATCAAAGAGCGCTGGGCCGGCCAAGGTTCCTGCTCCCAAGAAGGGCTCCAAGAAGGCTGTGACCAAGGCTACGCGCAAGGATGGCAAGAAGCGACGCCACCGCAGGAAGGAGAGCTACGCCATTTACATCTACAAGGTGATGAAGCAGGTGCACCCCGATACCGGCATCTCGTCCAAGGCAATGAGCATCATGAACTCGTTCGTCAACGACATCTTCGAGCGCATCGCTTCCGAGGCGTCCCGCCTGGCGCACTACAACAAGCGCTCCACCATCACTTCTCGGGAGATCCAGACCGCAGTGCGACTGCTGCTCCCCGGCGAGCTGGCCAAGCACGCCGTGTCGGAGGGCACCAAGGCCGTCACCAAGTACACAAGCTCCAAGTGAAGCCTCGACTCCACCATTAATTACAAAGGCTCTTTTCAGAGCCACCCACCTCTCCGAACCTGCTTGTACCAGTCCTAGCAGGAGTACTAAACGAAACTTCCAACAAAGCCCCGGTTCACGCGGGGACATTGTTCGCTCATTGAGTGAAATGGAGAGATGGAACGCATTTTAACCTGTTTCCACGTGAATAAAAGCGATAACAATATTCATGGCACATCATATTCACCAGCAGGCATTTCTTGGACTTGTTTGTCCATTGATTTCATCTGCAGCCCATTCAGATACTACATTGGATATTTGGTGCCAAAACCTTGCAATGCAATATATTTAATTCGTGGTTGTATTTTCGGGCAGGAACTAACATTTTGCACGTGTGCATCTATGTAAAAGTAAGCGCCTAGCATGGATGACTCGTGCAGTATAATTGATGATCATCATCTCAATGCCAAGAGAATAGATATCTATCCCTGTGATCACCTTTCCGACATTTTTACGTATTAACTTTGGAGCTTTCGTGACTGCAGGAATTATTCTTTGGTTCTTTCGGTAAAGTCACGTATATAAAGAAACAAATTGGTGATATCTGTCTGCTTATATGTCTGTCTATAATTTTTTTCTGGTTAGATTTTATGTCGCTATTTCATTATACTTGATGATTGCTTGTGTTGCAATCGAAACGTCGTATGCTATTATTTTTTCTTTATACGTGACTTTACCGAAAGAAACAAAAAATATTTTTTACGTATTACTGTTTCCAATGAAGCGCAGTTTCTGCACACTTTATTTAGATCACGCGGAGCACTGTAAAGTTGTCTTCGGAAAGGTGTTTGCTTAAGAAAATAAGATCCGTTAAAGACATGGACGGCGCTCAAACGGAACTACTGCATCGTGATGCGGCATTCTGCAATGCTCCAAAGTGAGAACATTTCGTTGATGAAGAAGAGTTGACGACTCGAGATCATTGCACGCTGCCAACCAATCAGCACGCGCCCCTTCTTCGCACGTCACGACTCCGCTGACCAGTGAGCGCGCGCTCTGGGCTACATAAGCCGCCTTCTCCTCCCCGCCTGTGAGAATCTTTGCCCTCACCAAGCCATGGCTCGCACCAAGCAGACGGCTCGCAAGTCCACGGGCGGCAAGGCCCCCCGCAAGCAACTCGCCACCAAGGCGGCCCGAAAGAGCGCTCCGGCCACGGGCGGCGTCAAGAAGCCTCACCGCTACAGGCCCGGCACCGTCGCTCTGCGCGAGATCCGCCGCTACCAGAAGTCCACCGAGCTGCTCATCCGCAAACTGCCCTTCCAGCGCCTCGTCAGGGAGATCGCGCAGGACTTCAAGACCGACCTGCGCTTCCAGAGCTCCGCTGTCATGGCTCTGCAGGAGGCCAGCGAAGCGTACCTTGTCGCGCTCTTCGAGGACACCAACCTGTGCGCCATCCACGCCAAGCGCGTCACCATCATGCCCAAGGACATTCAGCTCGCCCGCCGCATTCGTGGCGAGCGCGCTTGAACGCCCAGCTCGGCCCTCAAAGCACAACACAAAGGCTCTTTTCAGAGCCACCACTTACTCGTGAGAAAGCTTCCATGTGTGTCCTTCAAAGTTCGGGTGCCGGAAACCTTCGTTTGCTGGTCACGGCTCTCACGAGTCGTCAGGCGTAAGCGACAATGAAGTTCATTTCTATACCCCGCCGCTCATTCTGCAACATCACACGTTGGTGTTGTGTATAAGCGTTGTGAAACCATGTTTACATAATGTACAACAAAAGAGTTATTTTGGTGAAATGTATTTTACCTCAGAGTCGCGTGGTGGGTGTGGAGGCCTCGCACCGTGCAGAGCCTCCCGCCTCGCCTGATTTTGCCACCCGGCTGACGCTGGGTACGGGTGCCGTTTCCCCCCCCCCCCCCCCCACCGCGCTACAATAATACTGTGTAATCGCTATAATTTAATAATCTACCGACCCTATAATAGTAATAGCACACATTGTGGTGGGGGGGGGGGAGTAAAGAAGACGTGAAACTTAGATGAATTTACCTCAGAGTCGCGTGTTAATGCGTGCGCCTATTTTTAACGGGAATTAAAGATGGCGTCCACCCCGCAACTGCTAGCCCGTCGCTAGCCGTTGCCAGGGGCAACCGGCGTCCAATGAAAGTGCGTATGGTCCGACATCCACACACAGACAGACAGACATTCACGATTTTATATATATAGATTAAACCCAAAGATATTGGTTCATGTTGTTTCAAGCCCGAGCTGATAAGAAGTTCACATTTTGCAAACTGAGACTGAATTATTCACGCACATATATTTTTAGGCATTGCCCGAACAGGCGGTTAAAAAAAAATATCTATACACCGTATAGGCACGTGGGCGATCAATCACGAGCTCAAGGCTATCACAATGATTTATTATAACCAATGCGGTCCCTCAAAATGATGATTATAATCAATAATACATTAATATTTGCGGAATCCGCTTATAAGTTTGACTTGCCAGCACGCGCCCATAAATTAACTCTATCATGCTTAAAACTTGAACCTATTAGGTACGTGTATCGCATTGTTTAATTCGTAAGATGTGTGGTGCCACAACGACGGGGCCGCTCTGCCGAACCAGGGAGCCGCCCGGCTTCCCCCACCGCACTGCCCCCCATCACCCGCCCCACATAAGCACACACCCGCACGCATTTCCCCCCCCCATAGAGCTGGAAGGGAAGGTCACCTGATCGACCGGTTTTTATCCGAGAGACCCTTATCGGGATTAATTCTCACGGTTTCCGGCGATCAGGGAATTGGATGACCCCCCCGTGCTACGTGGCACCGCGGCGCCGCGGCCGGCCTTAATATTGTGTGGTCGCGGCGTGGGGCATTCGGCCACCGCGGTTGAGGCGCATTTTCCCCCCACACACACTCCCACGGGTCGACGGGGCAAGCAGGGGAGGCACGGGACAGCATGAATAGCGGGGTCACAGGGGCTGTTGCGCATAGTCATGGGGGGTTGGGATAATTGCGCTGGAGCGCGCAGGCCCCATTGTTAGGAAGGGTAAGGGAGTAATTAGGATGTACGCCGCCAACGTCGCTCACTGATTAGCATATCAACAGCGCCCGGGGAACCGCCGTGCACGGGCTTGGGGTGCACGAGCCCATTGTTCAGCGCAGCATCCCCTTTGAGGTAGGGAGGATAAATAGAGGAGCGGAGAGGGGAAATCGCCCCTTCTCTCCAGGCCAGCGGACCAGCAGGAGTTCCAGCCAGCGACCCGGACGTCCGTGCGACGCATCGAGGTACGCTGTTAGCGCAGAGAGCAGCGAACCTCCGCGGGCACCAAACAGTGAGTGGGGAGGTAAAGTAGGGTATCGTAAGCCGATAAATAGGGAATAGGTACAGGTTTAGTGGAATAGGCCAGCCTCGTCGACTCACTGATTCAACATCAATTCGCAGGTGGCCTATAATAAATCATTAATAGCGAAGCGTGGTCTCGCGTGATCTTGTCGTGCAGTGTGAGCGTGTGGGTGCGCTGTGTGCACAGTGGTTCGCCACGTGAGTGAGCGCTGCGCGGAGCTGAGCGCGCGGGTTGCGCGTGGGTACGCAGTGATTCTGTAGTGCTGCGGCTCGCCTCGGGGGAGCGCTGCGCAGAGTGGTGCGAGAGTGGGTGTCGCGTGTGTTCACTCCGTGTGTGATACAGGTGCGCGAGTATAACGTGAGTTGAGTTGGAGTGCGCGGAGCGGCGTGTGTGTGGGCGTGCGTGCGTTCGCTCCGCGTGGGTTGCAGGCGCGCGATTAGGAAAGGGAAGTATCGTAGTAGAGAGGGGAAGAATACTAATCGGTAATTAACCATGCCCATTACGCGGACCCGCGGTGGAGGGGAATCCGCGGGCGACGGCTCCCCCGCCATAGGTGAGGAACTTAGCAGCGGTTCGCTTAGCAGCGGGGGGGCGATTGATGATGCTAGCCCGGCCGTTAGCATTATCGAGGGAGGGATCTCGGGGGCTAGCGACCCCCACATATTGGTGTCAGAAGCGGGACGATCCCCCGCACCCCCAAGGGAAAGAGGCCCCCCAACCCAGGTTAAAATCAAATGCACATTTACGGGCAAAGGAATTCCATCATGGAAATCGTTTGCCCGCAGCATCAGGGGGGCTAAAAAGGTTAATGGGTGGTCGGATGAGGAGGCGTTGCAGCAGTTAGAGATACATTTAGATGGACGGGCAGCTGACTTTGTGGAAGCTTTGCCCGCAAGCACACAAACTCAGTGGGAAAAATTAATGTGCGAACTCGAACGGCGCTTCGGCGCCTATGACGAGGAGGAGGCGCAGGCGGCCTTAGAGGCACGCCGCCGCCAGCCCGGCGAGGATCTGCGAGATTACGCCGAGGACGTACGCATGTTGACCCAGCTTGCGTACCCGGAGCACGAGGCGAAAGTAATTGAGAGCCTCGCCACCGGGAAGGTCCAGCGATATTTGGCACGCACCCCGTGGTGGCAGCCAAATATAGACGGTGCACGCCTCTCCTTTAACACACTTGTCGAGCGCGCGGCGTAAATGCGAGAAGCTCTCTGGTGAGCGCGCGCAGCCTCGAGGGAGGGGACGAGAGTGCGCCGTAACGAGCCTACTCTCGGACGAGGAGGAGGAGCTCGCCATCGCAGTAAGAGGACGGGCAAGGGAGCCCCAGAGACCCAGCGAAACAACTCCGGGGTGGGTAGCTGGGTTACAGGCAGGTATGGGAGATATGATAAACCAAGTAGGTGATAGGGTAACCCACGTAGGTGAGAATGTGACCAAACTGCAATCCGCCGTTGAGACCATCCGATCCGAAATGGGGGACCTACGCGCCACGGTAGGAGGGTTATCTGGAAGGGTAGCCCGACTAGAGGCGGAGGGTGGACAGCGGCGTAATGGGGGGGGAGGGAGTGGGCAGGGGGCCCACTACGGAGCCGCCCCCCCTCCCCGGGCATGTTATATGTGCGATCGCCGAGGGCATCTAGTGAGGGACTGTCCTGAAATCACCCGAGCTAGGCAGACGCGGGGGTTAAACTCCAACGCCCCCTAGAGAGCGGACCAACTAGGGGTGCAATCGACGCGGTCCCGATACAAATAGACGATAATGAGAATAATGGCGAGCGAGTGATCTCCACACAGGTTCCAGCAACAACGCCCACGGAAACGGTGACTCCTGGCGACTGGCTGCGGGAGCTGGTGGCGGGGATCACGGGGGCCACGTCGCTGGTGGAAGGGGAGGTAAACGGAGTGCGTACCCGAATCCTGCTGGACACGGGGGCGGTGGCCTCGCTCGTGAGCGCAGCGCACTGCAGCGCGATCGGGGTCGACGTGCGTCACCTGCAGGCCCCGGACCGCGCGCTGCACACTGCGAGCGGAGCCGGAATGGGGCTGCTGGGGAAAGCCACCCTAGAGGTCCGCATAGGCAGCCAGGTGTGCACGCAGGAGTTCTACGTGTCGAGTGCGTTGTGTCACGAGTGTATCGCAGGCACCGACCTCCTAGAACGGTTGGGACTCAACGTGCAACCCCGCCAGCGATGCGCCACCATGGAGAGCAACGGCGAGCGGATACCGTTCCTGGGACGAGAACCAACGCGCCGCCGCTTTGCACCTGTGGCCGCTATCCTGGCGACGGCAGTCACCATCGGCCCGCTCACCGAGATGCTGGTGCCGGTGGCAACATCCCCCACCGACCCCGCGCTCCGACCATCAGGGGAGGTAATGCTAACTCCTCACCCGGAGTTGGCAAAACGGTATGGGATTGTGGGATCCGCCACGTTGGTAAACGCAGATGGGGACCGATTGTTTATGCGGATGTTTAACCCCCACAATACCCCCTGCACGCACGCCACTCTAACGACTCGGTGTTCGCACTCTGGGCTGAGGACCCCGGTCGTCCTGAGGGTGAGCAGGACCTGGCCTGGCGAGTCGGCCCGACTCCCCGAGCCGAGGTCGTTCCCCTGCTCGACGCGTTACATGTACCATGGGCGGACTTACCTAAGGGAGAGGCCGATCGGCTGCGCGAGTTACTGCGAACACGACTCGGACGTGGGTCGGACCGACCTTGTTAAGCATCAAATTGACACCGGTGCAGCCCGACCCATCAAACTCCCTGCGTACCGAGTGGGCGCACCCGAACGCGCCCAAATCAAAGAGGCAGTTGGGGACATGCTTCGCGATAACATAATTCAGCCCTCGGCGAGCCCCTGGTCAGCCCCGGTGGTACTAGTGACGAAAAAGGATGGGTCAACCCGGTTCTGCGTCGATTACCGTAAACTAAACGCAGTCACGCTCGGCGATGCCTTCCCCATACCTCGCATCGACGACACCTTCGACAGTCTCGCAGGAGCGCGGTATTTTTCCACCCTCGATCTGGCGTCCGGTTACTGGCAGGTGGAGATGACGGAGGAGGATCGGCCAAAAACAGCATTCACCACCCCGATGGGCCTGTTTGAGTTTCGCGTGTTGCCGTTCGGACTCACTAACGCGCCCGCGACGTTCCAGCGGTTGATGGAGTTGGTGATGCGGGGCTTGCAGTGGGAACAGTGCCTGATTTACTTGGACGATGTGATAGTGTTCAGTAGATCTTTGTCTGAGCATTGGTCCAGGCTTCGAGAGGTGTTCCAGCGACTGCGAGCGGCTCATCTCAAGCTCAAGCCACGTAAGTGTTACATCGCACAACGCGAGGTGGGGTACCT